AAACTGGGATGGATGTTCTCCAAAATATGGTTCAAGAAATGCAACTTGTGTAGAAGACAAATATTAGCTAGGGGAATAGGTATTATCGTTGGGATTAGGTATTATCGTTGGGATTAGGTAGGTCTATGGCAGGAAACTAAAGCTTGGAGATTCCACCAGTCCAAGGCAGATCCTGCAATAATTCTAAGAGGTATAAACATTTAATCTAGAACAGGGACAGACTGACAACTATGGGGCCCCCGGGCAATAAGGGATCATGGGGCCCCTGTGTCCTTGCCCACACTCATAGCACACCCAAAAAAGCCTATAAAAGGTACCAGAGGCATTTCATGGGGCCCCCTACTGACCCCGGGCCCTCGGGCAGTGCCCAGGTGCTCAAATGGTCAGTCCGCCCCTGATCTAGAACATAATCAAGGAAATCTTCTGTTTGGCATTTTGAAGGACCATCAAAGATAAATTATAACACAGAAGATGTTAAAATGGTTAAAAAAGTTGACTGGATTGGGAGATGGATAAAACAAAGGCCGTATTATGGGTAGATATTTCCATGACTTGCTGTCCAGTTATCTGCTATGATCTTGTTTAGTAGGTCACTGACCCAGGATAAGTCAATGAAATGCAAACCCCCTCCAAGCTTGATGCAGTTGGCTGGTGTCCCCTTGGTGGTCAACTCCTAATTCAACAAAGTCACCCAAACAATGCAAATTTCCATCAAAAAGTATAAACATGAAACGAAAAATGGGAATCAAACCCCCCAAAAAAAAAAAGAATAATTGAGTTGTAATGGAAGAGTAGGCACTTGGGAAAACCAGAGCAATGTCAACTTGGAAGTCCACCTAGGGCCTTCAAAAGAAGCCCAGGCAGGAAGTTTGTTATTCCTTTGGTACATCTGTCGGACAATTCTCCTAGCTAAAGCACTACAGTGATCCATAAATCAGTCATTGAAGACCCTGTCCAACTGTATGTGAGACTTTACTCATTGGTGAGTATCAGACCTAACGTGGACCTTTCATCAGATATATACGTCTTTGTGAAGCCATCATCTAGGGTCACCATGTCAGATGCATGATATATTATTTATTTCAGAGGTCCACCTCCTTCCCCCACTTCCTACTTTGAAGTCTCGCTGCTACGTTCTCTGTAATGTAGAACAAATACAAATTCAGAAGGACTCGCCAAGAGAGGTTGCGAGGTACGGCTGGAGCTGGGATCTCCAAGATCTCCAAGACAGAGATCTCACCTTTGAAGCCCATGAGATAGTGGATCTCCTAGAACCCACCAAAAGCTTGGCTTGGCATCAAGGCCATTTTTGGACAAGAAGACTAGTTTACTTTAGGCAAATGGTTTTAAAGGCTCAATCCACCCTACAGTGATATTTTAGTTATAGTTGGAACCAGGCGAGCTAAGTGAGCTCCCGGCTTCTTGTATGCCTTGGGAACTTCAACAGTGAGATCTCCCGACCATAATTCCTGGCTCTGCTCCTATCATTCTGGGAGTTTTGGGTGTTCCCACCCATCTTGGTGTGCTCCTTCTCTTTTATTCTCTGTAATGTATTGGGCAGAGCGGGTGTGCAGACCCGGGAACTCAGCACAGGGATGGTGGGAACCCCTCATAATGGGAACAGCGGGTGTACAGACCCGGGAACTAAGCACAGGGATGGTGGGAACCCCTCATAATGGCACAGCGGGTGTACAGACCCGGAACTCAGCACAGGGATGGTGGGAACCCCTCATAATGGGAACAGCGGGTGTGCAGACCCGGGAACTCAAGCACAGGGATGGTGGGAAACCCCTCATAATGGGAACAGCGGGTGTACAGACCCGGGAACTCAGCACAGGGATGGTGGGAACCCCTCATAATGGGCACAGCGGGTATACAGACCCGGGAACTCAGCACAGGGATGGTGGGAACCCCTCATAATGGGCACAACGGGTGTACAGACCCTGGGAAACTCAGCACAGGGATGGCGGGAACCCCTCATAATGGGCACAGCGGGTGTACAGACCCAGGAACTCAGCACAGGGATGGTGGGAAAATCCTCATAATGGGCACAGCAGGTGTACAGGACCCTGAAACTCAGCACAGGGATGGTGGGAACCCCTCATAATGGGCACAGCGGGTGTACAGACCCGGGAACTCAGCACAGGGATGGCGGGAACCCCTCATAATGGGCACAGCGGGTGTACAGACCCTGAAACTCAGCACAGGGATGGCGGGAACCCCTCATAATGGGCACAGCGGGTTTACAGACCCGGGAACTCAGCACAGGGATGGCGGGAACCCCTCATAATGGGCACAGCGGGTGTACAGACCCGGGAACTCAACACAGGGATGGTGGGAACCCCTCATAATGGGCACAGAGATTTCATATATAGATTCCTTCAAAGACAGAAGAGGCAATTGGTTGATGTAACTCTCCAGTACCCACCAAACACTGACAGCTTTGAGTGGACACACCCTTTAAATCAGCAATTCTATTTTTGCCAGAACATATTTATAGCGATGAGTCTATGTGGGGCTGAAATCGCCGATTGAACACGTCAGGGTCCAAGCTAATTTAGGGATATCCTAAAAAAAAAAAAAATGTGCCCATTTAGTCCTTTAAACGGCAGCTGTAACACTAACCAATCTGCTGCGTCGACTCAGCACAAATCTCAGATTTTTTTGCGGATAGCTGAGCTGTGATTGGTGGGAACACTTGCCCACGTTCAACCCTTCCATCCAATCCCTACCTAGCCTGCTGGAATGTTCCAAATTGCAAAAACATATGGCGGGGAGGAGGAGCCTCAGGAGAAAAAAAAAAAGATGTTTGCCTAAGCAAAGCAGAAGTTAAACTGACAGCGCTCCCGGAACAGAGCACAGGCGCGGTGGGAGGGGCTTATAAAAAAAGCAGGCAGACAGGAAAAGCCCTGACAGATGTCAACTATTGGAACAAGTGTAAGAATGTAAAAACTAATGCGATGTACCAGGGGTGGGCGACTGCGGCCCTTTAGCTGTTGGTGAACTACAAGTCCCATGAGGCATTGCAAAACTGACAGTTACAAGCATGACTCCCAAAGGCAGAGGCATGATGGGACTTGTAGTTCACCAACAGCTGGAGGGCCGCAGTTGCCCACCCCTGCTATATACTATAATATAGGTCATAGAATATATAATGGTGTAACGTCGTATAATACAGAACAATGTAACAATGTAACAATGTAACACGAAGCAATATAATGCGATATTTCATCTGGCGACCGGCGCGCTCCGTTCATATGCTGAAATACTTGTATGCAATATCAGGGCCTGAACCCCCCCCCCCCCACACATAAGTCATATATGTTATATATATATATATATACTGCATGTTGAAATGTGTTTTTATTACAAAATATATGCAAAAATATTTTTAAAAAAACATTTCACATATACTTTATGTCTTTAAAAATACAGATCTACATTTTTGGAATGCATTTACAAGTATATGTAAAAAATATATGTGAAAATGACTTTTTTTATATGTTAAAAAAAATCTGAAGAATAAATATTAAAAAATTATATTTAATAATAAAAATATTTTTCATATATTTTGTAATAAAAACGCATTTCAACATATAATATATATATATATATATATATATATATTCGTTTTTTATACATAAAAATGTGTATATATATATATATATATATATATATAAATATATACACACACACATATATGTATATTATATGTAACTTTCGAGATTTCTTTTAAACATATTTGCCATATTTGACAATTATTTAAATGCATTTATGTACTTTTAGGCAACAGTTTTAAAGGAGTTCCCACCAGGAACTTTATTAGTTTGTACACATCCTCTTGTAACTTTTTTTGTAATAAAAAAAATATACAAAAAAAAAAATAAATAATACAAATAAATAAATAAATATTAATAAAAAAAAAAAAAAAATATATATATATAGATAGATAGATAGATAGATACATATAATATATATATAGATAGATAGATATATCTATATATATATATATCTATATATATATATATATATATCCATATATATATATATATATACACACACACATATATATAGATATATATATGTATATATATATATATATATATATATATATATTTTTTATATGTACTTTTAGGCAACATTTTGAAAGGGGTTCCCACCAGGAACTTTATTAGTTTGTACACATCCTCTTGTAACTTTTTTTTTGTAATAAAAAAAAATATAATAATAATAAAAATAAATAAATAACAAAATAAATAACAAAAAATAAAAATTAAAAAAAAAAAATATATATATATATATGTTTAATTTTTATTTATTATATATATATATATATATATATATATATATATATTTATATATAATGCTTCGTTCTGTTCTTTTTAGCTGAATTATGGCACACCTACGACACGACAGTGGGAGGGGACACAAAGCAGCCCATTTGACTCAACTGTACCCAACATAGAATGGACAGCTGCATTGTAACCGGGTCAAAACAAAGACAAGCCGCACTGGGTATTATTATTACGTAACAAAAAAACAGGGACAGAAGGAAGCTATAGATAAAGTTGGATCCAGGGGCAAACTGACAACTCATGGGGCCCCCAGACAATAAGGGATCATGGGGCCCCTGTGTCCTCCCACACTCAAACCACACACAAAAAAGCCTATGAAAGGTACCAGGGGCATCTCATGGGGCCCCCTACTGACCCAGGGCCCTCGGGCAGTGCCCGAGTTCCCGAATGGTCAGTCCGCCCCTGGTTGGATCCAGGGGCGGACTGACCATTTGGAAACTCGGGCACTGCCCGAGGGCCCGGGGTCAGTAGGGGGCCCCATGAGATGCCCCTGGTACCTTTTTCATAGGCTTTTTTGAGTTTGGGCAAGGACACAGGGGCCCCATGATCCCCTATTGCCCGGGGGCCCCATGAGTTGTCAGTCCGCCCCTGGTTGGATCACTAATAAAAGTTACAGGAGGGCGTGCACAATCCATCTAATTAAACTTATCTGTAGTAGGTGGACAATCCCTTTAATTGGGGGTCCGTCCGGGATAGAGTATAGTAAGTTGTGATGCCTTTCAGTGGAGCAGTGCAGAAGAAGTTTTGAGAATGTGGACTTCCTTTTTGTGACCCACTAATATGTACCCAAACCCGTGTTTTTTGCCGCAATCTATCTACAAGGTAGGAATAATGTCTTCTCATGCCTCTTTGTACCTCCAGAATGAGCTCTTCCATTTCGAACTGCCTTTGGGAGGCTTTGTCCCCCCCCCCCCCCACATCCTCAATAGGTTCATGGTAGAGTAACGCCAAGATGTCGAACTTCTTCAGGGCAGCCTTGTAGTTCTTCAGGCTGATGTGGATGACCCTGTCCTCTCCGTCGTACTCTGGAAAGTCAAGCCCGTCCTCGCCCCTGGCACCCAGGTTGGCCAGGGAGAGGCACAGAGCTGCAAGAACCAGCCACGGCCCCTTCATCCTCTCGCTACGTTCCAACGAGTCAACAGGTCCACCAATTCCGGTCCCAATTTAAAGTCAACGTGGGGGGGAGGAATGTGGGAGGATAAAAAACGAAAATCCCCTCTCCGCCCCTACAGGTAAAGGCTTGGTGTTGGGTGGACAGGTAGCTCCTTCAGCTGTCCCTCTGGGGAGGCAGCTTCACTCTTACTCAGAGGGGGGAATCAGGCGACGGTCTCCCTGAGCTGATGGAGACGGAGGCGAGAGTCTGGGGACGACTGGTGGTCACCTTTCCAGGGCGCTCAGACTGAAAAGCAAAGAGAGAACTTGAAACCCAGGCCATAAAAGAAGATGAGGGGGCTGGATAGGAGGAGGTCAGCGAGGTGGGAGGGACACCCTATCCTGACAGCTTGGACCCTCATCCCCTGCCCTCCCTCCTTCTATTCCCCTGTCTATATATGTCTACATGAGATCTTGCTCCTAATATACTCTTCAAGTCCTCAAGTATCCTGTTGGCACTGCGACCACACAGAGACCAGCAGCTTGAGCACTTGCTGTGTCCACAGGTGTCTACAAGTTCCTTCAATAAGGCAAGAGACCGAGGTGCAACCTACTAGTGAGCATATCCCTAATCCAACCAGGGGAGGACTGACAACTCATGGGGGCCCCGGGCAATAGGGGATCATGGGGCCCCTGTGTCCTTGCCTAAACTCAAAAAAGCCTATGAAAAAGGTACCAGGGGCTTCTCATGAGGCTCCTACTGACCCAGGGCCTTCGGGCAGTGCCCAAGTTACCAAATGGTCAGTCCACCCCTGAATCCGACCAGAAAACTGAAATCAGATTAGTCGCTCCAGGTTTTTAAACCGAACACGCCTGGTTTGATGTCCCATGTTACTTAAAGGATTCCACCCAAAAGTAATGTTTAGGTCACTTATGGGCTTCTTATACGTCACAGATGCCCCAACAGAGAGATCTTCCTCCCTCTCGAGAACTTGAGAGTTTTGGGTGTCCTCTCCAACCTTTGTGTGTTCCTGCTTCTTTTATCACATTCTACTTTATATAAATGTTCAACAAATTGATCAGGGATGGTGGAAACATTTCATAATGGACTCAACAGGTGTGATGACCTGGGAACTTAGTGAATGGATGGTGGTAACCCTTCATAATGGGCACAGCAGGTGTACAGACCCAGGAACTCATCTCAGGGACCACGCAAACATCTCTTAATGGTCACAGTAGGTTTGTAGACCTTGAAATCTGTCACAGGGATGGAGGGAACCCCTCATAATGGGTGTACAGACCCAGAAACTCAGTTCTGAGATGGTGGGAATGATTGATAATAGACACAGTAAGGGTACAGTCCTGGTAATACAACACAGAGATGGTAGGGATCCCTCATAATGGGCACAACAGGTGTACAGACCCGGGAACACAGCACAGGGATCATGGGAGCCCCTCATAATGAGCACAGCAGGTGTACAGACCCGGGAACTCAGCTCAGGGATGGTGGGAACCCCTCATAATGGGCACAACAGGTGTACAGACCTGAACTCATCAAAGGGATAGAGGGAACCCCTCATAATGGGCACAGCAGGTGTACAGACCTGAACTCATCAGAGGGATGGTCGGATCCATTCATAAAGGACACTGCAGATCTGTGAGGACACAATGGCCCATGATCCTCTATTGCCCAGGGGTTCCATGAGTTGTCAGTGTGCCCCTAGTGGGAACCCTTCATAATGGGTACAGGAGGGGAACAGACCTGGGAACTCAGTACAATAATTGTGGGAAGCGCTCATAATGGGTACAGCAGGTGTACAGACCCGGGAACTCAGTACAGAGATGGTGGGAACCCCTCATAATGGGCACAGCAGGTGTACAGACCCAGGAACTCAGCACAGGGATGGTGGGAACCCCTCATAATGGGCACAGCAGGTGTACAGACCCAGGAACTCAGCACAGGGACGGTGAGAACCCATCATAAGGGGCACAGCGGGAGTGCAGACCAGAGAACTCAGTACAGGAATGGTGGGAACCCCTCATAATTGGCACAGCATGTGAACAGACCTGAGAACTCAGTACAGGGATGGTGGGAACCCCTCATAATGGGCACAGCTGGTGTACAGACCCAGAACTCAGCACAGAAATCCCAACAATAGTGGGTCTGGTAGCTCTGAGTGAAATGCTCTCATAATGGCTGATTCTAGGTTGGGGGTTACCAAAATTTCCAAAGAATTTCCAACCTCTGTCTGAAATGGTCAGAATCTTCCTTTGGTTCTAAATTCTTAGAATGAGAGTGAAGAACGTTGGTGTTGCTTTCATCAGCAGAAGAAAAGTTGGGCTACTGCAGGGGCGGACTGACAACTCATGGGGCCTCCGGGCAATAGGGGATCATGGGGCCCCTGTGTCCTTGCTCACACCCAAAAAAGCCTATGAAAAATCCAATGAAAGGCACCAGGGGCATCTCATGGGGCCCCCTACTGACCCTCGGCCCTCGGGCAGTGCCCAAGTGCTCAAATGGTCAGTCCGCTCCTGGACTACCATCTCATTTGTTTTAAATTCACCTGTTTAGAGCCCGGATGGATTGGAGGTTCGTCTTCCTCTCCATGTTTGGCCGAAGTGCAGAAACCAGAAAACGTCCCAGCTTTTTTAATTTTTTTCCTGGAGGGACAACAGGAAGTGAAGGAAATCCCCCCCCCCCCCCCATGGTTGTCACCAGAAGAGGTGTCCCTACTGGAGGACAATTCATCACTTCTGTTCGATAAACCAGTGTTTCTTAACCCCCAGGGTGCTGTGAGCATGGAACCCGGTTTGCCCTGGTCAGCTATGGTGGGGTAGGCCAGCAGAATCATGTTGTGCGGACTGTGTGATGGGGGAACTCTGTAGTGATGGGGGGAGGGAACTCATGTATAGGGGACCTTTGATGTATGGGGGAAGCTCTGATGTGATGGGGTGGCTCTGAAATAAGGGCGGCCTCTGATCTGATTGGGAAGGCCTCTGATATGATAGATGACCTCTGATGTAAAGGGGGATGGGATGCCTATTATGTAAAGGGGTGACTCTGACGTGAAGGGGGGACTCTGATGTGATAAGAGGGATCTTCAACATGATGAGGGACATCTGATGTGATGGGAGGGATCTTCAACATGATGTGGGACCACTGATGTGATGGGAGAGATCTTCAACATGATGAGGGACATCTGATGTGATGGGAGGGATCTTCAACATGATGAGGGACCTCTGATGTGATGGGAGGGATCTTCAACATGATGAGGGACCTCTGATGTGATGGGAGGGATCTTCAACATGATGAGGGACCTCTGATGTGATGGGAGGGATCTTCAACATGATGAGGGACCTCTGATGTGATGGGAGGGATCTTCAACATGATGAGGGACCTCTGATGTGATGGGAGGGATCTTCAACATGATGAGGGACCTCTGATGTGATGGGAGAGATCTTCAACATGATGAGGGACCTCTGATGTGATGGGAGGGATCTTCAACATGATGAGGGACCTCTGATGTGATGGGAGGGATCTTCAACATGATGAGGGACCTCTGATGTGAAGGGTGACTCTGATGTAATAGGAAGGCTCTGGTGTGGTGTAGGGGACTCATCTATAGGGGACCTTTGATATATGGGGTGACACTGATGTAATGTAGAGCGCTCAAGTATATAGAAGCCACTGATGGATAAGGGGTGTCTCTGATGTGACGTGGGGACTTTGATGCAATGGGAGGGATCTTCAAAATGATGAGGGACATCTGATGCGATGGGAGGGATCTTCAAAATGAAGGGAACATCTGATGAGGGACATCTGATGTGTGATGGGAGGGATCTTCAACATGATGAGGGACCTCTGATGTGATGGGAGGGATCTTCAACATGATGAGGGACCTCTGATGTGATGGGAGGGATCTTCAACATGATGAGGGACCTCTGATGTGTTGGGAGGGATCTTTAACATGATGAGGGACCTCTGATGTGACGGGAGGGATCTTCAACATGATGAGGGACCTCTGATGTGTTGGGAGGGATCTTTAACATGATGAGGGACCTCTGATGTGATGGGAGGGATCTTCAACATGATGAGGGACCTCATCATAATGAGGCAGGGTGAACCTCCCTGGTGGGGACATAGATGGCATTAAAAACCTGACCTGACCTTAGTGTCCATCAAAGGGTCCACCTAAAACACTGCAGCTCCATATAGGAGAGAAGGCTTGGACTTTACCCTCTTGGCTTCTCCTGAAGTTTTTAGACTTTGGAACCTATTTATGAAAAGAAGACTACTCTACTTACCTAACCCTAGTCCAATCCCTAGTCCTGAAGATAACCCTTGTCCTAACCCTAGTCCAATCCCTAGTCCTGAAGATAACCCTTGTCCTAACCCTAGTCCTGTCCCTACTCCTAACCCTACCCTACTTTTGACCCTACTCTGAACTAAAGCCCTTGTCTTAGCCCTAGTTTTAGCTTTAATACCAGTTCTAACCCTATCCCTAATCTTGACTCTAGTCCTAACTCTAATGTTAGTTCTATATCTAGTCCTAACTCCACCCGTACTTCTTAAGCTGGGCATACGAACAATCAGTCAACGGACTTATCCAAAAAATATGAAGAGTCCCCAATCCAGACACTGGAGGTAGATAGAGGAATCCTCCCCAGTGTGCTACTGCAGTCTTACAGCGAGAACTCCTCCTCTCTCAGAATACGCTGATCAGTGCTGCAGCCGATTGGACAAATGTTTTCCAACAAGCAAGTTCGTGAGACGACCATCATTAGACTGACTTCTCATGAATGGGAACAGCCATAGAGGGATCGTAATTTGACAGCTCCCTGCTAAACTGGAAGAATTTCAACCCAACTATGGCAGGTTAACCCTAATTATAGTCCTATCTCTAGTCCTAACTTCACCCCTTGAGCTAACCCTAGTCCTAAACCTAACTCTAGTCCTTTCTCTTGCCTAACTATAACCCATGTCCTAACCCTAGCCCTAACTCTGACCCTAGTTCTAACCC